TGTACTATATACTGTATAATTGCAATTCAATTAAAATCATTTACAATTTGATTAATGAAATACTTGTTTGATTACTATTGCAGTATTCATGCTACAAGAGACTCTCATCATATTATTTAACACTGACGAACTCTTATTATTTTTTCACAAAATGGGACAACCTTTGCTAAGTACTGAAACAAAGTGAAGACACTTCCCACTAATTTACAGTTAAATTATGATTGCAGTATTCATGCTAAAGCATGCTTTATTATCATTAAATGTAAAGATTAGTACATGTAATAATAAATATAATTGTTATCCAATTTAACTTGTTTAAAAATGATTAATGGTAATTGCTTGTTTATTGCACTAACAGTATTATCATTTCAAAAAACCCTTATATATGAATTATCTTAGTAAATAACATAATTGGTAATATAAAATTATTTTCCATGATTTTTTTCTACACAAATTCAACACATCAGAATGCAATTTAGTCACCAGAAACTATCTTTTGTTCTCTTTCCAAAAAAGATTTAATAAGTGGGTAGAATTTGTTAATACAACGTGGAAGATGTAGTTTGGAAACATATCACAAGACATGTAGTAGGTATTTTACTATGCAAGATAAGGGCAATTCCATGACTTTTTTTCAGATTTAGCAAATTTTCAACTTTGAGGAATGTAAACAAGTTTTATATCAAACTAAAGCTTAAAAAATGAATTTTTAGGATTCATTGATGAAACTTTTCTTATGTGGATGTATAAAAATATATAGGAATTTGAAATTACATAATTTTGAAAATATAAAAAATATGAAAATGTCATGTTTTTTCCAAAGCCTCTAGAAACTAACAAACTGACATTTATGCCAGTCATTTTTATTTTAAATTGGAGAACTTAACATATTTTATTAGTTTTTGTGACAAAAAGTAATATTCATTTACAACAAAATATTAAGGCGGGGCAAAAATATTTCTTAATATTTTTGTCGGTCTGTGACCCAAAAAAACAACATTTTTTAGGTTTATTAAGTCATGCAGCTTTCAACCATTGTGAAATTCATAAAACTATTGAAGCTATTAGGCTAACATTCACTGACAAAATTATTTAAATTTTTGAACTTATTTATTCATATTTTTATTACATTAATTTCAGTCGGTCTGTGACCAAATTAGTCACAGACCGACTTGTCGGTCTGTGACCAATGATATTACAATAATCTTTAAGCAAACTTTTTACTGTAAAGTTGGTTATATTCAATAAACAAAATTAAAATGACAAAGACATGGGTCTGGGAAAGGTTCTAAGGACGTATAGTGGTTTATTTGAAAATAACAATGATTCGCTTCATAATAGACCACCAAATTGGGTATATTAAACCATGTAACTAAAGTAGTTGGAAACTGAGTGGGTAAAATCTTTCAAATACATAAAGCTGTAGTTTATCATTCAGTAGATCTTGATTTCAACATTTAAATACTGTATAGTTACTATTCACTATGCCATTAACCAGTGGAGGCGTCAGCGGGGTGGGGGGAAGGGGCAGGGGAATTTTCTTTGCTGGAAGGCCGGGACCCCCTGTTTTCGACGAACGAATAGGTCGTCAGACCAAAAATTTTTTTAAATAATAATTTTCCAATCCAAATAACGTTATCTTGATTGCCAATCCCTAATATTGTGGTCTAAAAACACATTTAGGGTTAAACTAAGCCATAAAAACCCCCTTCAAGAACCCTAACAGAGATTTTTTTTGTTTCGGGGTATCGACCGAGGCTTTGTCGTCGCTTTGGTTCGGACCCCTGCATCAGACACGTTGGACCCCTTGTTGGCAAACATCTGGCGCCACCATTGCCATTAACATCTAAAGAAAAAAAAACCATGCTATTCATTTCAAAGGCAACCATAGATGGAAAATGGAGCATGTTTGATGGTCGCTGGGAGGATGTGAAAACACTTCCAGATACCCATAATGCATAAAATGCATTTCATAAATTTCTTGGTTTAATATGCCTTTTTTCATTAAGTACTAGAGTATTTATTAAGTGGGTCAGATCAATTAACATCCAAGCAATCATGATTTTGCTTAAGACTATTTTCTGTGACATTTATTAGGTAAATAATACCATTCTTAATATGTTAAATAATCTGATTTTATTACAAAATAAATTTTTGTTTACTATAAGGAATTAAGTTATGCTTTTTTATATACAATGTTTGGTAACAAGTTTTTAGTATTTAATTTTATATATAAAGTGTTTTCTCCTTATAATGTGCCAGATTCCATCATATACTAT